TGATATAAAACTCTTCCTGTTAATGTTTCAGGGAAAGGACAGTTATAAAAGACAGACGTGTCATACTGTCATATCCTGGTAGTCTTATCTATTAACGATTATTACTTGTTCGATCCAATCATAAGCATAGAAAGCTCTTCCTGTTTTGTTCCAACTAGAGTATTCGCATGATGCAATAATAAAAAGATATTCATACCTTGATAAAATGATTAATTATACTAGTTTTTCAACATGTGAATACTTTAAACGCAGTGTTTGTGTTCATACAAATATAAAAATATTCCGTACTTGTTTTTCCATTCTGCAAACAGGATCCACAAAGATAAAGGAAACAATACCTTTCCAAAACATAACATCATTTGTAACAACAACACTGTATGTTTAATCTTATTGCTTTGTGCTTGATAAAGATTCCTGTATGTGAATTGAAACGTTGCAAACATTAAAGAAAGGAGTAGTATATCAATAATAGTGTTCTTCTTTATTTATTGTATTAAAATACTTCAAAATGACTTTAACAGATTAAAACACTGTATGTAGTTTGTTAAGATGACATTCTATCTATTAGAAGGAATTTATACCATTAAATCCTGCTTTCCGTTTCCACTGAATGCACATTGAATGAAATAAGAGTTGTGTATCCAGCGATTGTACAATGTAGTATTTATTTGCTGTTGTTTATTCATTGATTATTTAGAATAAATTCCAATCTTGCATCTGTATTTCACATACAATCCGAGTGGTCTTCATAACGAATGTGTGTGTGTGCAAGATTGTGGGATTCTTGTTTTCATGTCTAGTTCATGTAAGAGTTTTTTAACTAGGATTATTGTGCCAGATACCACTATTAACGTTTCTTATTGTTACAATATCCTGTGAAACATCAACTAATTATATCTCAAGGGCCGATGTCTCTCCTAAGAGTTTGAATTTGAGATGTAAATATCAACTAAGAAATAAGTTAATGAATTATTAGAAGGGAGTGAATTGGAACGGGTTCATTTTAACCGTAATCAATTCCAGACCTAACAACAATGTAAATAACTTTGATATGGTATCAGCCGATCACAACATTTTGCCGATCTTGGTTTTTTTAATCAGAAATATTAGCTGGTAGATAACGCACGGTCCAGTGTATGGGATGTTAACATTTTGCTATCAATATACACTAAATTAATAATAGTGCAACAGTTTTCAGTGACTGTTATTGTTTTAGATTACAATGGGTTGCGAAGCATACTAAGTAGTTTAGCTATAAATATAGGATCGAAGCATAATAGTTTGACGATCGTGTAGTTTAATTAGCTGATACTTTTCCAAGCCAACTCCGATGCTAATTTCAATTTTAAAAACACTGTTTTCTTCCTGCACAATTGAACTTGGAACATTTACGAAGAATCGCTTATGAATGTCATTTTCACAAATTGAAAAACTTGGATAAAAAAAACATATTCTTTTAAGAAAGGTAAAAAATTCGCCGTGTTTTATTATTATGCCTGTGACAACAATTATTTTCAAAACCGTGTAATATTTCATTTGCTATCAGGGCAACATGGAAAACAGAATTAACTGGTGTCCCTCTCAATTCTACTACATGTGTGTAACTGTTTCTGCTAACTAGTAAAAGGAAAATGCACGAACTCTACAGCTGATGTTACACGTTCTGACTCTGTTAGCACAACTATAGCTGAATGATGTATGAATGATAAATGTTGCGTCTAAAGCTCTAAGTTCAGTTTACCAGTAACAATAAGTAGGCGGTTTAATAAAGTTTAAAATATTGTCATAAGAGGAAGGAAAACACCGAGATATTAAATTATGTCTGCAATAAGACAAGCTTGGAGACAATTATGTCAACAATTTCTGTTATAATTAAACCACCATCTTCCCTTGGGTTGTCTTCAGACAAATTCTGTCACTTTCACAAGCATTCTTCAATAATAAAATAACAGGTGTGGTCATCGTGGATGTGTCCTCTAATTGAAAATATACTCTTTAGTGTTACTTCCAAATCTACTGTACATGTTGAACTAAAAAAAATTCTCTCACAAGGTCAATAACAAAAATATCTTTATTAATGTTTACTCCTCTGACTAGAAGAAGATTGGATTTTTTTAACTTTCTTGCAGGGACGTGATGAAAGCATTTTATATGACTTTGTTTCAAACTTATTGGCTATGTACTCTTGACTCATTATTCGACTAAAGGTCGCATCTCAGAAAGAAGATAGCTTGCCAGGCAAGGTAACATACACCCACTGGCAGCTGTAAGAAATGATAAAACAGTCTTTAGTGTAAGTATGAATTTTCTCATAATTACTGCCAATTATGTATGCTGAGAAATACCACCAAGTTTTTAAAAATCAATATCAATAACCCAAATACATCAAATTATCTCATCAATATACATGATCACACCATGTTTCATTAAAATCAATTGAAAACTGTAGTCTCTAATGTGTTCACAAACAAATTTTGACGCGTTTTTCCTAAGTCAAGGGCAATAAAACAAATACCGTTCATTGAATAATCATCCAATTTGAACTTGTCCAAGATCTCATCAATATAAATGATCACACCATGTTTCATTAAAATCCGTTGAAAACTGTAATCTCTATTGTGTTAACTGTTAACAAACAAATTTTGAAGCAAATATATATTTACTTAATCTGGACTGTTATGAGGCGTGCGTGTAATTCAAGAGGACAATGACTGTGTCTTGACCCCACGATAAGTAACATTATAGCTTGTAAGAAACGCTTATGACACGAGGACTTGATTTATTTATGCTTCGTTTATTTCTTGACTTACATTGAGTAAGACGTCTTTCATACTATTATCAGTGAAACAGTTGAGAATTACATTAACTATGAATACAGATCGAATGAATGTTACATCAGTTAAAGTTGACATTTTTTTGCAATCAGTTGTGTGGGTTGGAGAGTGCAACACTTAAAATGCATGTCATCAGGTGTAAGAAGGGGTCCTGTACCTCTTTTGAAAGTTTCAAATAAAAAGCGTTGAAGGGACAGATTCGCCATTTTCAAAGGTTGATTTGGGTCTGGAATATATGTAAATTATCTTCGTAAATACTAGAACTGTACGAAAATCGCATAATCCCTTCGAAAATACTTCTACCAAGAATAATCGTCAATGAATCAATCAGTAAATTTTTCATATTTTGTACCTCCGGATGTGAAGAGCTTCATATCCGTAGTTCGAAATACTGTCCACGCTAAAGTCACGTTATGTATTATTACATCCATTCTCTAATCTAAAATTTAAAATGGTACCTCAGTCACCAGAGATATGATATCGCGCCTAAAAATTAGTTCACAAATGAATATGAAAATATTAAACTTATTGCCAGACGAAATTTTATACTGGAAATTTTTAAATAAAAACTACACTGTTATCAAACTAATTGGAATAATAAAATATTTTCTAGTGGAATCTAGAGAAATGCGTCAAAACTAGTTGATATATAAGACTTTTTCATATTTTCTGCTTCAATTTTCTCTCAATGCACCATACAGCTGTCATGGAAATTCTAATTTGTGTGATATCTGTAGGTTTGAGTGGCATGTCATTTCTTGTAGTGAATCCACAGATGTACTTATATCTTATCACTTTCTGTAAATTGAAGACAGAAGGATTTTTTCGATTAAAACGAATTTATATTCTGACAAATTTAATTTACCTAATTACTTGTCAATCAAATCGTACATAAGCGTGACATGAATTAAGATGCACTTCAAATGACAACTTTAAAAAAGATTGGTGCATTGGATGTTTGCCAGATATCATCTAGTGAATGCTAATTGTTGCCGCTCCGTACGTGTTGACGTGCTTTGCTGGTTGAGATGATATTGGTTTATTAGCTTTTAATTTAGTGAAGTCGACTGACCAGGAAAAATAGGATAGGAGTCAATTATCAAATTAAGACTATTACTTTGGTGGTTGTATGCAGTCTAAGCGATATAGTAGTTCGTATTGTTTGAAAATTCCATTCATTTCAATAAATAACAATTGTCGAGTAGCTTGTAGCGTTTGAATTTTGGTTTATGAAATTTGGGCAGTAAGTTACTACGTATCATGTACACTACTCTAAAAACTTTTACAAACCTTGAAAAGATATGATGGATATAAAATCATTAACAATGGTCTTGGCGCCAGGAAAAGCAAACCCAGTCATTATCCTTGTAAATTATGACTTTTCTTTCTTCTCGTTTTCCTTGTAACTGATATTTATTATAATTTAACTATCATCACAGTCACTATTCATTTGTACTAAGGTGCTGATTTTACAAAACATAAATTTTGGCTATTTTATACTGTGTTGAAAGAGATATGATGGTGTCGAACTCGATATGGTCGAATGGGTCAGATTTTGAGAATATTTTGTGTAGTTTACATATGGAACTCATGGTTTTTTCACTCAATGGGGGACAATACTGTCAAAGCTGAACTCAAAATGTGGCTACTCAGTGGAGTGCTTCTGACACTTTACTCTCAAATTTTTGAAAAATTGAATTCATTTGTTGCATTTTAACACATATTTTGGGGCACAAACTTATAAAAATCATTGTTAAATTTGTCGAAAATAAATTGGGGAGTACAATTGGGGGCGCAAACCATTTTTCTGGGAAGGCAAATGCCCCAACTATACCCCCACTGGTGCCGCCAACGGACGTACTCATAAATAGAGCTTGATTATAACTAGCTGAATATAATTTAGATTGGAAACTATTCGATCGTAAAAGGATCTTAAGATATCGTTAATTATCTTTATTTTTACTTTTCTGGCCACTGAGATCTATGTACCCTTATTGGTTTGTCTCTTTGGTCGAATGTTTATGTTATAGTGCTCGGTTGTAGGTCTTCATAATCGTGACACAGGAAGGTAGATTTTTTGTAGGATTAAAAGCATTAATGTGTCATATTTTCTTTATTTTTCAGATGGCGATTGAGGGCAACCATTAGTCTGGATCCAGAATAAGAATGTCGTTCAATTCCAGTACGGGCGTGTTTGAATTCTACCGAGTACCAGAGTTAGAATCGTTCTCGGTATGGTATTCTGGAATCCACGGCTATCTTAGTGTCATAGTGTGTGGCTTTGGAATACCAATGAATCTAATTAATGTGACGGTTTTAACTCAGAAACATATGAGAACACCTATAAATTGTATCTTAACCTTTCTCTCCCTATCTGACATGTTGACAATGATCAGCTACGTTCCGTTCGCTCTTAATTTTTATATCTTACATTCCCCGTGGGAGCTGAACGCGACTAAAAATAGTCTTGGTTGGATGCGATTCATGCTGTTTCATATCAATTTCTCTGCTACGACCCATACTGTTTCCATCTGGTTAGGTGTGACTTTAGCTATATTAAGATACAAACATTTGTATTCTCCAGCAAAAGGGAACCTCACGCGGATACGACGGTTGATACGGGCACGGATTTCAGTGGTAGTTGTTTACGTTTTGTCTACAGTTGGCCTGACACCCAATTACATCACAAATAAGCTACACCCGTCCCCTTTCAACAACGAAACAGTGTACATAATGGAGAGCCTTGATCTAGGAACTAATGATGTCCGCCCCGTTGTTTTGTTAAATTTGTGGCTCTACAGCATTATGGCGAAATTATTGCCGTGTATCTTGATGGTTATATATGGGGGACTTCTTCTGTATACTCTTAAATCCAAACTTAAATTCCAAAAAAGAAAACTTTCCTGCACCAGTGTATATGCTCAAAGACCATTGGATAATTCGAGAACTACGCGGATGTTGTTAATAGTTATTATACTCTTCTTGGTGACAGAGCTTCCTCAAGGAATATTGATCATTTTAAGTGTTACTTCAAGAGGTTTTTTTCACTTCATTTACATGCCTTTAGGAGATTTGATGGATATGATGGCGCTCATCAATAACGGTGTTAACTTTATTCTTTACTGTTCAATGAGTAGAGATTTCAGGCTGACTTTAATGGATCTCTTAAAAATACGAATTGCAAAACATCATTTTACGACAGTTGCTTGTGATTCGGAACGTTCACAGACTGCTTTGATAGTGCGTGTGTCCTAGTTTCTCTGTCGTCTTTTTACCATAATCATTCCTCTGCGAGATTCATTAGAGACTATTTCGTCGTACGATTAAAGGGTAACTAACGAAGTGAAATATAGGGCGAAAAGTGACAAGTGAATACTTTTCATCAACAAATCTATCATCTGAAACGGGCCTAACTATGTTATTGAGTGAGGTCAATTCGAAGGACTAATATAATGAGAATGAATTTATTGGACAAAGTGGACTAGGGACATTTTCATTTGTAACACCATACAAGTTCAATTTAACAAACACATACCACTTGGAAGGCAAATCTAAGACGATGCAATGATATTTTGATTACACATTTCTGTGTCAGTGGTTTCGCTGCTACTTTGCGGTTGGTTTTGGGACATTAAACCTTTTAACAGTCATTGCTGATTACAAAATGCCATTCAGTTTAGTGTTGAATGCTGAAATGTAGTGTTAATGTGCGTAGTATAATAAATATCAATAGATCTAATGAAATTGATCCGATAAAACTAATTCGTGCTGACCGGCTGTCCGACTGGACAGAATCTCTTGTGTTACGCATACTTCACGCAATGACTAGATAGTTATGATACTTTGCTCGGCGTACTCGTTTGGAATTATGATGATTTTTCTCATTTTGGACAGTGTCGTACATGATCAACGATTTAATGAAATTTCTACTGAGCTGGTACATTAATTTGTATAACAAAGCGTAGCATATGGTAGAAATTGGATGCCAATACCTCCATTTATCGGTGGGTCGATCCCTATTCATATTTTTAAAGTCGTAGTTTTATTGCATTCGAAATAGCAGGTGTCGCCAGTGATCAGTAACAAACGGAAATTAAGTGGCATATTCTGGAGCTATCGGAAGGTAAAGAAAATGCCAGTACCAGTCAAAATGATTTAACTACACTATTCAATCGGCTAAATCTGCAGTCAACCATATGTAGGCTAACCTCCGTGAGAAATTGTGATATGTGTATGTTTATCGTTATGTTACATTTTGGCTAGGATCTATCAGCCACGCAATACCCGTTTTCACACGATTGGTAAGATATTTCCTGAAGATGCGATTCTCTTAAATTCGGCTATGACGAAAATTCGATGGAAACGTTTCGCCATATACGTAAGTGAAACGCCATGATAATTATCTGAAATATCGATCAGACGTCAAATTACGTATAGGTTACATACATGTTTATATAGCGTCGTAAACGATAGTAAATCTTATCTTATTGTGTTACATCGGGTGTAATTCGTAGCAGAGTCCAGTGAAATATGGTTATCGATTTGCACGAGTATTTTCCCTGTTCCCTGATCTTATGTAAATAAATATTGTTTATACAAATATATTTAGTCAAACTTATTTCAAGTCATGATAATCATTTCCCTCACGAACATTACCATAGGACTTGGACAGGTTTCAAAATATCAACGATTAAGTGACAAAGTCTTAATAATTTTAATGATACGTAGATATATGAATTGCAAATTCAAACCCTGGACCTTATTTTACTGGATATTCATACTTTCAGTATATCAGATTGAAGCGAACATAACGATTTTCGCGATTAAAGATGAACACACAATAAATATATGGCACTCAAATGGTTAAATCTAAAAACCCCATCTGGAATGAGCATTAATTAGACTGAATGGTCGAAGTGTAAAACATCTCAGAGGTTATAAATCTCATCCACGACATTACTGACTTTCACAGTCTTCCATTAATACCCTCTACATTAATTTTATATATGGACAACAACATAGGAGACATAATGATACTATTTATTATTACTTAGACGATCTATGTGGATGAGAGCAAATAGATTATAGTAATACTTTACCCGGAACAAATAAATATATATTCTGTTTTTCTACGAATGTCCTTTATAATTCAACACTAATATACATGCACTATTTTCAGCTCTGTAACACTGTGTGGGCAATTCCACGTCTAGCAAGCAGTACTTATTAGTAGGACTTTTAACTCAGTAAAGCTTTCCATAGCTACAGATGGTCGGTCATGGATAAGGGCCATCCAATCCCGCATGTTGATCTAATCACCAACTTATCCTTCTGGCATTCGCTCAATCCCATGATTAGTATCAAAGTTTATTACAAAACCACATTTCATCTTCTTAAATGTACGCTTCCAATTAATATATGACCGAAATGATAAATTAGAATAGAAAAACTCGACTTGAAGCACTTTCAATAGCCGTATATTTACGTGACTTTAAAAATGTCAGTGAATCTAGAAGAAATGTGTCTCTTTAATAAAAATAGTCAATAAATACTGCTTTATCTCTCTAAATCCGCACTGGCTATTTTTGTTCCATGAGCCGTGCTCAGACAGCATTTTCCAATTAAAGATTTCCAGAATAACATTTCTAGAACATGATTTGTTTGAACAGAAAACTCTTCAGCCATAGGGTATTGTCTTACTACATGATACCTTTTAGAACACAATTTATTAGGGAAGAGCCATTGGCTTGGTGTGCCCCTTTATCATCTTATTACATTTTTTTTTAAAACAGTATGATACTGGCCCCTGTGCACACAACGTGTCAACTTATTGCTTGACACAACTGAAACAGTTTTACGGACAATCACTTTTAATGTAAACGAAGAGTTTAGTTGAGCAAAAAAAATGTTCCGCCCTACAAAAAGCGGAATGACCCTTTAAATTTAAGGATCGTAGATTTTCATACAACGAAACGACACAAGTCAATTTAGCGGAATTTTTGCATTTTTGCAATATTAAGGAATCAAAATCATTCTAAAAATGAACCGAAACAAATATACACAAAGAAAAAAGTTAAGCACATCCCAGTTTTTTCATCATAATCAAAATTATATAATGCACTAAGCGGAAATCGAACTTGGTAACTAAATTTTTCAAATTGCATCAGATCCATCGCACATTTAACAACAAAGAAGACCATTTGAGATAGATTTGCTTTGAGATTTAATATTGGAAATGACATTGGCAGAGAGGTACTCATTTTTAACATTTTTAACACATGAAAAAAAGTATGGAGCTACCGAATTTACAGATAGAGGTAAGAGTTACAATTTGCACTGGAACTGTTCATTATCATTATCATTTTGACCTTAAAAGTTCAAAACATCAATAACGCGTGTAACCTCCGCGTGCTTGAATGACACAATGTACCCTGTTTCTCATGTTTCCAGTGAATCGTCGAACCTCTTCTAATGTTAATTGTCGCCATTCTTGATGCAGTACACTGTAAAAAAAATTTCCTTCCATTAACAGAAAAAATTCCGGCAGCTGATTTACCAGAATTTAAATTTTGCCTTCAGTTATATAACAGAATTTCTTGTAAAATATTTGCTTTAAATAACAGAAATATTTTACTACAAAATCTGTTAAATTACAGAATGACTAATAATATTTCCTGTAATTAACAGAAAATAGGAAGGATATTCTGGTAAATCAGCTGCCGGAATTTTTCTAATATTTCCTGTAATTTAACAGAAAAATAGGAAGAATATTCTGGTAAATCTGCTGCCTGAATTTTTCCTTCCAGTTCTGTAAAAAAACAGAATTTTAAAAAGGATATTCTGGTAATAAATCTGTTGCCAGAAATCATTTTCATTTTACTGTAAAAAAACAAAACATTTCAACTTTATGTGTTTATTGGTATTATTTGTGCATTTAAAATAATCAGAGAAAATGATGTTAACTATATCTTTAATTATACATACAACTGAAAATGTGGGCGTATAAAAACAATCTCTTGCATAAAACAAATGATGAACTTGAAATACATACTCATCACTAATAACATCTATAACATTCTGATAACTAATGACATCTTTTAATGATATTCTCATAAGTAATGACATCTTCATAAGTTCGGATTTAACTAATTTGGATTTAACTAATGTCTTTTTTTTTATTTATGTTGACACTCTTTTCTCCACATTGCCCATATTTTGTTAATATTGACAGAACCTGTGGTCCAGTAATTCTACTACTTCACTTTTTTTAGTGTTCCACATGGTTATAAGACTCCATCATCCAGCGCAATACTGTTTATGATGCAACTCTAATCATTATCATAAGGCCTAATTGTTTCTGATGTGCACAGTTAATTGTTGCTCGTTCGAAAGTCAGGTCAACTCTCATAATGCTCCGTAACTTTTAGCTGGTAAATAATGGCAGAAACTCTAAAGAGAGGGAAAAGGTGACATACCTGAAAAGATAAATTTAAAATGAGAAAATATTTGTTGTGCTAATGTACTGCAGTACCGGTAGTGTAGTAATAGTAGGGCACTGGATCTTTTAGTTCAATAAATCCAATTCGCCCTCGTTTACGAATTTTGTAATGCCTCGCCCACGTAGTGGGTCCTAACATTGAGTGTAAACGGTTAAGGTTTATTGACAAGAATATTAATGACAGAATTCTCATTCCTTATATTCTTGTACTCTGGTGCAATCAAAACCGAAAAAGGCTGTAAGTACAAAAAAAAAAGCGAGGATGTACAAAAACAGAAAAAGAAATTATAAATTAAAAATAGTAAAGGCATAAGAAAGTGGATGGAATTTAAGATCATGATGCAATGACACACTGTCACTTATCATGGGTGGCCGTACAAAATAATTTCTTAAAAGCAGGTTGCACAGTTTGACATTCCAGACATCGATAAGACATTGCAAATGTTATTAATAGTAGGTACAAACATTTTATATAGTGTCACATGTGCAAAGTTGGTGGGAAAACTGACTTGAGGAATCTATGCATAATTTGGCGCCATTTTGTCGGGTTTGTTTACATTTTGGTAAGAGTTTTCAGGCAGCATGAAAAAACATAAAATTGCAATAGAAATTATGGATCCTGTGATATTTCATATCGTCGGAGGCTTTCTTATGTAATCGGGTATAAACTTACATTGCGGTTGGCTAAACCTGAAGATTTGAGATATGAATTTGAGGACTTCATTGCTATGAAGAATTATTAATTTTTCTACTCTCTTAGACAGAAGAGTTCTAAACAGAAAGATGACTCTTGACAAGACTGATCTAAGTTTCAGACCACAAATACGTATAAAGTGATAAAAAGATAACATTACAAATTTACTTAGGCAATAATTAAAATACACTCACCTGTTAATTTGTATTCAGTGATCATTTCCACTCTACCCAAGACCAAGTAAGCTAAGCCTAGTCTAGTTCATCGTGTAGGATAAATTTAAGTCATTTTGTCGTTGTCCCCACACGCTTAAAATTCAGTAGAACATTTTGCAGTTTTTGACAAAGGGTGATAATAGAACAGGAATGAGTGGTGGAATATCGGGTCAGCATTTAACTTTCTCCATGCATCTCACCATATTAAATTTAATTTAAGAAATTCACAAAAATCCCTTCGACGTAGCCTTGTTTTGATGTGGGATAAGATGGCGGCGTGACGATAGACTGACCTCGTGTCTTTACCGATGACGTCATACCTACTTTGATTGGCAGGTCGAAACTATCATAATGCAAAATCACCTTTTCCGTAAATTAACAGCAATCCGGGGATCCTCTAGAACAAAGTCCGTAAATCAACAGAAAAATATGTATATCAGCATAAATTTACGTATATCAACAGAAAATATGAAGTACATTTCTGTAAAAAAAACGGACTTTTTTTTACAGTGTACTGCTTCCAGTTGCCGAAGAGTTTGAACAGGAGGTTCACGTGCTCGTACTCGTCGCCCAATGAAATCCCAAACATGTTCTATTGAATTTAAATCCGGACTCGTAGCAGGCCATGGTAAAGTTGTAATTGCACTGGTCCTCATTAAATCGTTGACTGCTCGTGAACGATGTGGTCTAGCATTATCGTCCATGAATTGTGGTCGACTCGCAAGTGTGTGGTTGTCGAATGAGGAACCACAATCGGTTGCAACACGTCACGGATGTACTGTTGTCCTGTCAAGTTACCCCTGATGGTGACCAAATCCAACTTGCAGTCATGGGAGATACACCCCCATATCATGACGGACCCCCCACCATATGGAACTGTTGATCTGGTGTTCCTAGGAGTGTACGCTGTGTTTCGGTGCCTCCACACTCTAGTACTGCCATATGTTACATGGAGCAGGAACCGACTTTCATCTGACCAATGAACACGTCTCCAAGACCTCATATTCCAGTTCTGACGAGCAATACACCAGGCTAAACGTGCTGCCTTGTGGCGATCTGTCAACAAAGGGCGTTTAATTACCCTCCTGGCTTTCATTCCTGTGCTTCTCAATCGATTTCTAAGCGTTCTTAGACTGAAACGAAGATTTGGCAGCCATAAGTTTTTCAGACCAGTACTCGTTGCAAAGGGTTCTCGACAAACAAGGCGCTGAAGGTCCCTGTCTTCTCTCTATGAGGTCACTGGGGGTCTTCCTGATCTGGGTCGATCCTTCTCATCGCCAGTTTCAAGATGTTTATTGACCAGACGACTAATAACAGTGTGATTATAACCCAGATTCCGCCCAATTGCACTGTAAGACATTCCTACATTGTGCATACCGATTATTTGCCATCTTGTGGCATCAGATAAGTGTCTACGTGCCATATGTCCCTTTGTGTGAGTAAAGATCGATTTTGAATGAGAGAATTAAACCAATAGAAGTGACAAAAGATACTGCATTTTGAGAAACACAAGGGTAGCAAACTGCACGTGCGGTTCATGTTCTCCACGAGATGTTTTGTCATGATTTGTTCACTCCACTTTATTAAAGGCACATATACTTTTCAAAAATCCCATATTTATTAAATTATTAAAACTTTGTGCAAAACTATCATGATTTGTTTAAGGATGTGCTTAACTTTTTTCTTTGTGTATATATATTTCTTTTCTTGCTCTAAATTGTTCTTCTAATTCAAACAACAATAATTATCTATTCCGCCTCCAAAAATCAAATGGATCCCACAATAAAACGTAAAACACGACAACGACCTTGATCGTTTGATCTCCTTACTACCCTGTCGTCGGCGTCATGTAAAACTATGGAACAAATAACAATTTTACCAAAATTCTGCGAATGCTCCACATGCACATTCAACATAATCTGCAGTGTATGTGGTGGATAAAAATCGTCATCAAGATTGGAAGTACACTTCAGTACGTGGATAAGTCAGGTGTCCAAACATACAACATTCAAAGAGAAATTTGCGACAAGGCCTCATGATGATGATGGCAACTGGACGATTGAACAGATAGTTCAGTTTATTTCTGTTACCTGTACATGCAATAGTAAATAGGGCCTAATATAACAATATAATCAGAATCTATACTACAACTGAGAGCAGAGTTGTGTTTCAAGAAGAACTACTTAAACACGTTCACTGTTTTCTTCTATCACAGAAACAATTAATTGCTGGTAGACAATTGTGAATAGTTAGGGTTTCGCTAACTGTAATTAAAGAATCTTATATCCTGCAACTTATTTTACATGGATTCCTTCAATTATGTTGGTTGCTCTAGCAATCTTATATAATAGACAACCCAGTGTACTAATTACTTTCATAGACAAAGCAAAAGAGTCAATGGTCAAAGGAAGCTTTATTTAATTACGGATAAATATATCTAAGTAACATGGCAAGGATATTGATCACTATGGTTTAAAATGACTTTACGAATATAAAAGCCCTCTTAAGTAATGAATGTTAAATTTGCCAGGATAGCGGTATTAGTATTATCTTTTTCGATTCCCATCTGTCGTAGGATCTGTTATGTTAAGTTCAATAATCAATAACTGATTGTGACGTTATTATCATGTAACTGACGCTATGAGAAGCGGCGTATCAATGAGTTCTTTGGAATCACAGATACCATTTTTGCTATATTTGGGGCATGTATAGACGTAACCGTCGTGCCTCGGCAGACTTGGGAAGGAAAGAAGTGTCACCTTTCCACACACGTTATTATATGGTATAACCCGTGTACACTATCCATGGGTTGATCTGTGGCAGGATAAGTAAAGGGAAGTAAGTAACAATATTCCAGAATTCAGACCACTATACAGTTTTAGCAGCCAGTGATAACATCATATTGACCTGGGAAGTGGCGGTGTCAGTAGTGATATAGATGGGTATAGGTGGAATACTGGTGCCTCAGTAGAAAAGTGGTTTGCACATCCCCACTTTAATTATAACAAGTCCAATTGTCTACCTTTTTTCTCCAAAATATGTGTCGGAATGCACAATATGAATTCATTTTTTTTGCTAAAATTTTGTTGAGAGAACCTTCAAAGACGCTCTATGAGAGGCTTGCTACCATGATGTACACCACCTCAGAGTAGCCTAAATTTGAATTCAGCCTCAGCAGTTGTCCCATCCCCCATTGAGTCAGTCTGCCCCAAGGCTATTGTACCCCCAGTCTCGGAAGGCAGACACCGTCACTGAAAGAGGTTTAAGTAAAACATTATCTAATTTTAACCTAGCAAAATTATCGAGTGTTTGAAACTTGATAGAAGAACCAGTGATACACGCTAACATTTTGAACATAAATGAAACATAAATTTCGAACCATTGAGATCTTCAATGCCTGGTGGCACTGGCCCCCCTCGATAATTATGTGGCCCCTACTCGTCCCCTCCACTGAATGCTTTATAGAAACGCCACTGATTGATACTTCAAAATGTGTGGAGGATTGGACATTGTCTTCACATTGGTAAACATTGGTTCATCACAGAATTTTATCAGAGACGAAGTGAAGAGTGCCCTAGTTCCTGGGATTGTACTACACCAATAAACTACAAGCTTCCAATCTTCAATATTTATTTTCAAATATGGATTTTCGTATTGCAGAAATTAGGAATTTAGTAGTTTAGTAGTCAATTGAAAATATAAATGAAAATCTTCGTTAACAATTGAGCCTAGGTTTACGTGGTCTACAAAGAAAATTAATTAAATTGGCATAAAATGCATACATAATAGGCTAGAATATTAGCAAATCTACTCAGTCTAATAGTGGGAACTTAGCTGAATGGGCTAATAATTGGCTTGGTCTCCTTATTTTAAAGGCTAATAGGAATCATGCACGTTTGTTCACGCACGCCATAGCAACTTTTTATGTTTCCGGAATTCCCCAAGTCTCATGTTTTAGAATGAATTGATTGGCTAAAATTTACACTGTCACTATTAATAACTTATGACGTAAGCATGACGTAATATAATAAAAATACTGGGAAACACCGACTTTCTGTCTGTTTCTAAACAATAAGCTAATATAATTATAGGTTTACATTAATGTATACGGTATTGAAATATCTGAAAATATTCGACGGGAGTAATGGTCCTTGTACTCCGAAACGTGTTTGGAAACCATAGTTTGTGAATGGAATATTAATTCCTGTCAGTCGCAGTGATAATTGTAACATACTAATTTAATCAAAGCTGTTTGGATGCGCTAATTTGTATTGACTGGCGAAAAATCAAAAGTTTGCCACTAATATTACCAAATTAACATATTCGACATTTGACAAACGTTGCAAAATTGCTCCTCGTCTACTTTTTATGTGTAACGATAATCACACGCACGTACAAGGGCTATATGTTATCGAGGGGCTAAATGCAAAAAAAACATTTACTGCATAAACAACATTGATATACTCGTATTTCAATAAATGAACACAATAATATATCATAATGTAAAAAAGTTAAATAATGACCATCTAATGTTAGACTGTAAATGAAAATACATTTTATAAGTAAAAAAAGTAGGCTTCACTGAAATAAAGAAAAAAGTGGGAAGGTTATAGTTCCATTTTAACTAATCGTTTGTAGAGCCAATGATTTTCAGCAGACTGCAAGTAACATTTCCCAAGCAGTTATTACCGATAGTCCGATTATGTTCTAGTGGGTACGGTTAGTATGAATTTTACAATAATAGGGCGCAAAATATTTGGTTTTTGACATTTGAATTTCAAATTATAGGTCTGTCTTATTGTATGTACATGTGCATATTAGTGTAGAGTTGGAATTTACTTTGAAATGACCTTAACTGTCCAGGGTTTCGTAATTTCAATCAACATATCCAGTATTATGCTGTCCCCTACTTGGACTTAAACTCTCATAGCTCGGTGGAGCTGACAACCCACTGTTATCGGACAATGCCGTGGGATGAGTTGGATAATGGTTAGGTTTGGACTCCAACTGCTGCTGTTGTGGTTGCGGTTGTTGTGGATATCCAGGATCTGCTTGTTGTGGGTATCCGACAGTTGTCTGTTGTGAATAACCCGGTGCTGGCTGTGGATATCCTTCAGATGGCTGACCTTGTGAATACATGACCCCCGGTTGACCTTGTGGATAAGCTATACCAGGTTGCATATAACCTGTCTGAACATTATTAGCTGGAATAGAATAACACGATGTCATAATACATCCAATTGTAGCATTTTATATCATGTTGTCTTTCAATTGTACATACTCGAATACAGATCTGGTTATTATATTAAATCCTTAAAAACAGCTTTAAATATTAAAACAGCCAACCGCAAAAAAGTAAATAATTGCGCGAAAAAACAATATTGTTTATATATTATGTGGTATTTTTTTAATGACTTTTAGTATTGGTAGAATTTCGTTTTTCTGGCTGGGCCTGTTGCTGGAGTTGGGTGACTGATATTTGCAACCAATCCTTACAGCATTGAACTGCAAGTATCTAAATCGATAATAAACCAACTCTTACTACAAGTATTTTAATCCATAATTAACCAACCACTGGCGCCTCTACTGGCTACTCTTTGAAGGCGAAAATATTTGTATAGTTTCTGGTGCATTTCACGTGCATGCGTTAGAGAGGTGAAATAAAAATTTTGTTGCTCTATTTTTCTGATCCTTATTAACGAAAATTAGAACATGGGACTCGTCGTGGGTAATTTGTTACCGAGACGGGACAATGAGTTTAGTATTATAACCTTCATTAATACTGATAATGCGGCTCAACTCTGAACCATCTCTGATTTCATGGAAGGGCAACGAATGCATTCCAGTATTATAGCTCGATGAAGGAGATTTCCCTTCAGGACAGTTTGAATTGATTCATCTATCATTTACATTCAACCTATTAATGTTCTGATAATGCATTCAAGTACGTCAATGATAATAATGCTATATAATACCTAGAGCTTGGATTTCCAGGCTATTATCATTGTGTTTATTTAAGCATTGGACGATGTTGATAAAATTAATTCAGTTTAATTACTTATCTAATTAATTAGATTTCTAAATACTGTCGTTTACGTAAACTCGTACTTTTTCTCATTTCAGATCTTACAACATTCTTTAACAAACGAGATTCGTTCTGATGTGGGTTTATAGCTTTATTATTGTTTGTTCTATATTCAATACATATGGCGGTAAAAGCTTCACATTGCATTTGACTGGTTGAAAGTCATTATTACTAGTATAAATGCAGCACTATGCAAAAATTAAGGAATTGTATAGGCCTAATACATATTGACTCACTTGAAATAACCATTGGTTGCATTGGAGTTGATCGCACAACTGCTCCAGCAGCACCCCGTCTTCTACGACAACAACATATCACAACGATAACAATTACTACCGTGACAACAAAGCCTACGGAGCAGATTATGATCCAAATAATACTTGTTGCTAATCTGAAAATAAGAAAAGAGTTGTAGTTTCCTAATTATAAACTGAATCAGTAAGAACCTGGTGAGAGGTAGGGTTACATTAATATATAGAATGTGATAGATAACAAGGGGAATAGAGAGAATTGTTGAAATAGTGAGATAGATAACTGAAATAAACCTGAGATTTAACAACAGTGATCTCTCAGTTCAACTAAATTTTTGGATTTTCTATAATGTAAGATAAAGATTTATCAAATCATGAATAAAATGACGTACCCACTACTACTATAGGTACTACGATAGGTATAACTGTTATAAGTATAATAATATGATGAACAGCACACATTATACCCTGTATATTTACAGCATCCATTGCTACAATAGCGATAGCTATTATATAACGCGCTTGTTTTACAAAATGTACCAAAAGACTCTAGAAAAAGCAAAAATATTTTTTTTAAATATTTATAACATTGCGATATGATAAATAGCAAAACTGAAAATAAGTTAACCAAAACTTGAGGATTGATAATATTGAAAATACAGATTTTATTTTACAGAAAATTGCTATTTGATTAAAAAATTGATTATTGAAACAGAGATTCTGAAAGTGATTAACTGTTGTTCATTAATTGAACATTTTAATATGTATAAAATATGTATGAAAGTATTTTAACTCTATGGTTTAAGCACATTAACTAGACTTTGAGATAACAGAATTGATCATCATTCAGTGACTCCTTTTCAACCAAGGAAGATGGCAGTGGCTGAGCCAGCCTTCCGAGACTGGGGGGTACAAATAAGGGCAGATTGACTAAATGGGGTAACAACTGTTGAGGCTATTTCAAATTTTGACTACTCTGTGGTGGTGTCATAGTCGCAAGCTTCTCATAGAACGTCTTAAAGGGTTCTCTCAAGAACATTAGAAAATCTGAATTGATTTTGTGCATTCTGACACATATTTTGGAGAAAAAATGTAGACATTTAGATCTGTTGAAAATAAACAAAAATTGGGGGTGCAAACCACTATTATAGGGGGGGGGGGGCAAATCTATATCAAAGCGTCCAGGCTACATTGATTTGAACCTGTTGTAGATGTAAAATGTACAGATTCTTAGCCCTTGGAAATTTTCATCGATATTTTCATTGTATAGTGTTTCGTGTTGTGTTTTGGATTTGATTTTTACTGACGTAAAGTTTCTGTCGACCTTACAGCAACTGAGAAGACTTCTCACTACACATGAATATTTTAATAGGTTATATATTTGCAATAGTTTAACGACAATCAATGAATCAAACTTATAGTAAGAATCTAGCATGATTTATTATACTAATGTATAAGTAAATGATATACTTTTCACCTGTAATAAGAGTCAATAATAATAAAGATATTCCTAGTAATAAATCCATATTCAGGTAGTGTTTCTCTATATTCTAGTTTATAGAAAACTGTCGATACAGGCTTGATATTATGCAATCTAACAACAAGGATGTTGAATATTTTCTTTCCGTGACGTATTAAATTCAAAGAGAAGGTAAACAGTGTCACATGTTAAGAATGTATACGCTTCGCTTACTATCCCAAAATAAATCACTATAGAGGTACACAATAAAGTAGGCCTATTCAACGTTGGTCTATGTAAATAATCTACTTCTTTCTTGAGCATAGTGTATTCAATCACAATAGCATATCACGTAACACGCTCAATATTATATAGAAATAGTGGCCTACTTATCATCGTATTATAACCTGAAATATTTTTCTTCATTATTGCGGCAAAGTTCGTTGATTCATTTTTTTCTAGGTCTGGCACCAATAAGTCTTTTTATTAAAGGCATTTTATATGGGTGTAACAGCAGTTTAGCAAACGTTCAAAAGTGTAAAACTTCAATTCAATATCTTCTTCAGCCATTTCCCGCTTTACACATTCAAGATTCTGGACTAAGATGTTAATTTGTGAGAGATTAGTCATAAGAAACAAAGACTAATATCATTTTGAGTCATGCCCATGAAAGGCAGATCTTTAAAATGATCAATAATGTTTGTAATGCCCTTGGAAATTTTAATGTTAATTTTCATGTATATCGATGTTCATATAATACGATCTGACATAAACATTATTTTAAGCACGCTGTAAAAGGTTGCCTGGAAATAAATTTGGTATTCAAAATCATAGATATTTGTTACGTTGTTTAGTCGAACGACCAAATTCAATTGGTTACGATTTGTCTGTTGGTGGGTACGCATTATTCAGAAGAAAAACAAATATGGCGGCCTCCGGAGTGGATGAAGTAGCTAACGGAATAATTCCTTCAGCTCAGACTCCCAACACCACCACCTCTAATCAAAATCAAGTGGAACAAAAGACAGCTGGTGTACCACTCAGTGATTTGGTTTTACAATTAGAAGATTTCCCTCCCACGGTATCCTAATTATGTCTACTTGAACTCCTTTCTACTCTCAGTGACGGTATTCTTACTACAGTTTGTTACACTCTCATTTCACTCACTGATTAGAGACATTTGTAAATGATTCAAGATTGGCAACATATAATTAACAGATCCATATGGCTGGACAGTACTGGTAATGCTATAAATGTTACCATTAGCTGTACAATAAGGATATCACATTCCATCAATGTTGATATCCTAAAATGGACATTGTGGCAGTTTCACCCTTTTCCGTTGTCGTTATTTATGTGAACCTTGGCAGAAAGGTACTAAGATAATTAGTCTGTATGCATCCTGAATATTCGCTTAAGGTTGTGTGCCATTAACATATTTTATTATGGAACCGGTACTATATATAGTGGTGTCAGTGGTGGAGACAGGTTTGCGTCCGAGAGGGGGTGAAACATCTTAGATTGCCGAATTTCTAACCTGGTTATGAGATTTTTGCCCAAAAAACATGCTTTCAGGGCTGTAAGGGGAGGGGGGAGAGGTTGGCTACCCACTCTGCCCCTTATTTGGCTCCACCAATGGGAAGTGTAACCTATATTTGTGCATATAACGATTCAACACCGTATTTCATCAAAATGTAAAAAACGCAAATTTTTTTTTTATGTCTTAGAAGTTTCAACAGATATTCTACAAAATAATTAAAATTGGTTTGTTTCGGTTTTCTTTATGAATCCCTCACTTTGACGCATATCTCATGTGTAACAAACTCGACAACGACAACGGCTGCTAAATGCATCACCTCTTTTTGTGTACAATTTTTGATCTATAGACACAGCTTTATGGAACAACAATCATTGGTTAAAGTTTTATGCAATGTTTCAACGTGTTTCCCCTGTCGTCCTCAGGTACATAATGAGAAGAATTGATGGGCAAACTATATATACATTAATGCTTATTATTAAGAACACACAAGAGATAAATGGTTTGTTGATACATTACATTAAATTTTAACAGGTACAATAAGAGGTACATAATTCTTAAAATAACATACAGGCTGATTAAGTAAAATAATTGAAATAAAGTAAATGAATTAAAAAAGATTAATTGAAGATTCAATAAACAACTATTGCTAGTATTGGAGTCTTTTATTAATAGAAATTACATTGTTCATATAACTAACTATGTTTTTTATTAAATTGAATACATTTATGAATATGAATAATTACAAGTTGATAAGTTTATCATATGCATGCGATAAACAAACACCTTCATCTCTGTTAAGGTCAGGCTGATATCTTCTGATATGGATAGTTTCATGAAGTCTCCTGGTTTTATCTATGTGCTTATTGATTGTCAGTATGTTGGTGTTGTCAAAGTTGACTTTATATCAGCCTGACCTTAACAGAGATGAATAGATATGTAATTTCTATTAATAAAAGACTCCAATACTAGCAATAGTTGTTTATTGAATCTTCAATTAATCTTTTTTAATTCATTTACTTTATTTCAATTATTTTACTTAATCAGCCTGTATGTTATTTTAAGAATTATGTATCTCTTATTGTACCTGTTAAAATTTAGTGTAATGTATCAATAAACCATTTATCTCTTGTGTGTTCTTAATAATAAGCATTAATGTATATATAGTTTGCCCATCACTTCTTCTCATTATGTGCCTGAGGACGGTGGGGGAAACACATCGAAACGTTGCATAAAACTTTAACCAGTGATTGTTGTTCCATAAAGCTGTGTCTATATATCGTACTCACAATTGCTAAATGCCATTCAAAGACTTTAATGTTTGATCTATAAATAAGTCGATTAAATCACGTATGGATAACCAGTTGAATAATTAACTTCTCTTAGTACATCTTTAATAATATTTCATTATAACTAATGACAACATTGATTTAAAAAGAAAAAATAGTGACTGACAAAATAAAATAAATAAAACATAGAAGTGATTTATTGCTTAAAGTCATTGAAACAACATAATAATATGACCCACATTGTGTTCCATAGAATTGTTCTGCTGACAAGGAATCCACAAGTTTATTATGTGACTTCGTTCATTTGACTACATTCTAGCAAATGACACTTGAATTCTGATTACAGCTTTGGATTATAAGAAGGCTGATCAAAAATTATGATATTTGGTAATAATTAAAACCTACTATTTTGTATTTTTTCAAATACATTTTACCTTGCTTAAAACTACTGGAGTGGATTTGTTCTACTCGCTGACATTGTGCAGACAACCCATGTTTATCGAAAAACACGCAAATGCGGAGGTCACGCGAGGTCGCAAATTTAAATTTTAATCATTTCCGAAGATGCACGAAAAATAGGTTAGCACAAAATTAGGATACGTAATCTGTATATACTGTAATCTATCTCATATCTTCATACGTTCTGATATCAATTGCAATACATAATTTCAGATTCCTGATTCTGTAACAGCTTATTATTTGAATAAATCTGGTTTTGATTCATCAGATCCAAGAGTGTAAGACAATTTAACATTATGATAAATTTTTATACATATACAGACGAAGGCTCCCACTTATTAAAGGGACAGGTGTGCAATTCTTTTGGTCAATCAGAAATGGGAATTTTTAATCTAAGCCAATCAGAAATAATGTTCATAGCTGACTGTCAAAATTTTAGCCTTCAATTCCATGTGGGTTCAGAATTATCTGCATTTGAATGAAAGATACTCTGTGATATATATAAAAGACATATACGGAAATAGTGAAGACTCAAATCAACACCCCAAAATGGTGCATCTGTCCCTATAAACATTCAGAAATTTTAAAAAGAGTTTGATAAGCTTATTGTTTCACCTTTCATACTGAAAATTTGATGTGTAGCTTTATCCCTTTAATTTTTATTATTTCAGAATCAGACTGGTTTCTTTAGCAGCTCAAAAGTTTATATCTGACATTGCAAATGATGCTTTACAGCATTGTAAAATGAAAGCTTCAGGTCAAAGTTCAAAGAAACAAGGAAAGGTATGGTATCATTCAGTCAAATTCTAGGATATTATCATACATAGACTTGTATAGTAAAAGATAATACGTTTGATAAACGTTCATGAATTAATCTTGATTTGCTGACATATATTGTATATAATCAACCCATAGTTAAGCTGTGTTCACTAACAAGCCTTATAACGCTGGGGTTACAGTTTTCAAAATTATAATGATATAGCTATTCACACACAGCACTTCTTATAACACTTCTGTGAGTCCGAAATATTCGAAATATTCGCAGATTGTTTTTCCTTTCCTACTTCTGTTGTCAAGCGTTGATCGTGGTTGCAATAAAACTTGCAGAGATTTAGTGAGAAGATATCGAGGGCCAACGTGAAGGTGTTTGCAGGAATATGCTAGTTTACCAAAGAATTGCAGAATTAGTGGAAGCTTGCGGGTACGAACACTCAGCCAACCAGTGCTGTTCAAAGGTGAAAGCCTTGAAGCACTAGTATTACAAATTCAGAAACAATGAAAACAAATCAGGTCATGGTGCTTGGCCTTGCATGTTTTGCATCGGCCCAGCCATTTTGGAATTATGACCTTGACATCGATGTAAGTAGCGATAACTCGGCTATATTGTTAAAAGACAGTGTGAATACACGCTTTTTAACCTTTGGGAGAGGGATTTCTCTGGAACGATCTACGGAAAAAGTTGTGAAAACGCTTTCGGTGTAAACACAGCTATAGTAAAGTGCGTTTTGATTTAATTGATGTCCAGTAGTTGCAAATTCTACCCACTCAAAATTATGTGAGATGGGTGATAGTGATAACTGGATATGTAACATGGATTTATCATTTCTCAACTAGGTGCCAGAAATAATTGGAATCTGTGAACTGATTGTTCTATAAGGTTACTCAATATTTCAACCCAGTATCTTTAATAAGATAAAAGATATTAATATTATGTTTTAAATTTCAGGATAAGAAGATAACATTAACAATGGATGATCTTACCCCAGCTCTTGCTGAATATGGTATTAATGTTAAAAAACCCAGTTATTTTCTTTGAAGAAACAAACAATTTTTTATTTCTAGAAGAAAGCATTTAGAAATGTATAAAGATTGATTCTATCTTATATTGTTCATATATAACACTTGTAGCTGATAGTCCTTGATTGCAGATCAACTGAAAGTTTGGAAATACCTGCTTTATTTTGATTTGTCAGAGTTCATATTACATTAAGTTCATGTGTCATGCAAACACATAGTCCCATGAGATTTAGTGACGTCATAAATTCTAACTAATTGGTATGGACTATTGACATGCAACAAAGTTGTATTACTTTTGAACAGATAAAAAAAAGTTCTTCCTAATCAGGATTATCTGAAATATTGAATCAGTATTTATTAGGAAAGCATCTACAAGTATTATTTGTAAACAAACATATGCTTTTGGTTTCTTATGAGTTTTGAATTCCTAGTACCACCACCTTGTATATTTTACATGTTTTATCATGGTTTTGTCATCATTATCATTTTGTAAATAATTCATTTGTGAACTTGTTCTATTAAAGAAGTATGAATCTGGCTCATTTAGATCCAAGTGATATCCTAATAATTAAGAGTCTGTACCTGTATAGATGAGATAACAATTCTGTCCTTAGCTTAGTATTTACCTTGATGAGCTGAATGTTATGTGGTCGACCACCCGTCATACTAAACACTATGTCATGATGGTTGCATTTTTCGTCACTGAAAACTGGTTCATCAATTTAATTTAGCTTTGATAAATCCACACTTCTGAAAAAAAAAGGATAATACCTGCCATTTTGACTGGCCTTAATGGCATTTTCGTTAGGCCTAATAAAGATGTAACTGTCATTCAATATAAAGACAAGTGCATCATCAGCAGATCCTCTGGAAGACAGTGCTGAGCTGGAACATGTCATGATAGATCCATGTGCTGTGAGACAAGGCTGCACCTGTTGGTATCCAAACATTATAAAAACGCGTTAAAAGATTTATTTAGTTGATAATATTTAGCCTGTATTTTGATGAGAGAATAATTCGACGTCCGTTCATATTTCATATTTCCACGTGAACAGTGGCGTGGTTCTCAATTTTTCAACGGGCGCCAAAAGCCCTTGTTAAACCCTCTCAGCAAAAGTCCGCAATTAGCACAGCAGTGCCCCTCACTTATTATGATTTTAGATATTCAAAATGTTATAAAAACAGTGATGAATGATATTTTTCTTTCCCGTCTTAAAAGGGTCAACATATACGCAGATAAGTTGTGATAACGTTTTTTATTCATTTTATTGGCGATCTGTGCGACTCAACAATATAACTAATTGGGAAGCTAAATTCATGTAAAGGTGCCAATTACCATACATTCTATAAGATGACTCGTGTATCGAACTACATTTGTGGGTTATGAATTTGTTTTTGTCGTAGTAGGCTATATCCAAGAATATTAATTGACTTGTTGTTATTACCATCATGAATGTCATTGTAAACTAGCAAATTTAAATTTAGTTTCAAGAAGGATACCAAAATCAGTATTCTAGAATGTTATCGTTTTCGTCTCTTTGATATTGCACGCATGCAGGCGAAGGCTACATGAATTTTCCATAAATAAATTTACAGAAATCTGCAGAATTTGCTGTTTTTCAACAGAACGTCTATGGCTAAAGCTGGAAGCATTTTGTCCAAATAATGACTTTGATTTTGGCACGATGTGCAGTAGAACTTATGAGTTTTACAAGAGCATTTCCAAAGATAAAGCAAAAGTTTGTCAATTGGCCCACATCTTGATGCAGATGAAGTTGAAAGAATTTAAATCGATGAACACCTTGAACACACAGACATGTCAACTAGTTACCAGGAAGCTCTTAAACAGCTGAACTCATCTTTTCTGCCCAGAAAGGAGTCAAATCTTGCGAATATTTCCCGAACAGTTATGAGGGATGAAGTTCAATAGCTTCTTCTAATGTTGTTTGGATTTGGGGTTTCGTTTTGCAGTTCGGATCGTTAGTACTTGGTTTATTTACCTCCATGGTGCAAGACCAATTAAGGACTCCAGCGATAAAGTAATTGACGCATTCGGGCAAGGGCCTCGAGAATAACCCCGTTGGTCGCCGGTAAATGTAAAGTAAACGCTAGAAAAAGTCCCGTAAAATTAAAAACTTTACATCAGCCGCTATCAACCTGCGACATATGCGATCCAAGACAATCCAAGCGACGAGGGACATTCCCAACTCAGAAGCTGAATTTTTGAAATTTTTGGATTGAATTCGCGCGATTTGGTGCGTACTTTTTTGTAAATTACTTGTTATTTTCAATGAATATTGCTTTTGTTTGGCATTTAGGCTAAATCATGAACCACTTCATAGACTAGCGTCGCTGAGACTTAATACTACTTGTATCAATATTGTATCCTATTCTATACATGAAAATGGTAACTCTGTATCGTGGGTTTACGGGACGTTTGGACCTCCAACAGTCTCCCAAATCGATCTGTTGCCAACAGGTGGATTCGATGTACACAATGTATTTTCGAGAAGGGTTATTTCTTAGAACAATGTCAATATGACCTTCATCCAGGGTTAAACTGATGATGATGATGTTGATTACATGTACCTCAAATGAACAACCAACACCAACATCTTTTCAAGCAAACATATAAAAAGTTCTTGTCACGCATATCACAACCTTATATTGCGATCTCTCTTAAAAGCGTCTTCCAATGAAGGTGTTTAACATCCTGTATAAGTGAGGTTCTTTAAAAAATACCTGGTTCAGGCAAGGAAATAAATACTACCTCATAGGATGACTAACTTATTTTATAACTTGTTAAAAATGAGTTTTTGTTCATCAGAGGACTTACCTGGTGTCAAAACTATTAAAAAAACTCTGTATCGTGGGTTTACGGGACGTTTGGACCTCCAACAGTCTCCCAAATCGATCTGTTGCCAACAGGTGGATTCGATGTACACAATTTATTTTGAAGAAGGGTTATTTCTTAGAACAATGTCAATATGACCTTCATCCAGGGTTAAACTGATGATGATGATGTTGATTACATGTACCTCAAATGAACAACCAACACCAACATCTTTTCAAGCAAACACAGTCCTAAAGTCCAGTAAAACCCACTTTTAAAATGAATTTCATTAGTTTATTTTAAAGAGCTTTATCCTCAAGTTATTATGCTGGTCTAAATCTATGGAGGCAGTGAGTTCTCAATCAATATGCAAGACTCCGAGATCGCTTAATCGAGTGTTTATTATTGTATATTCAAATATGTTTTTGTCAGCTTCAAACAAGAAAAGCTGCGTAATTGAAGTCATGTATGTAATTAATGTGAACACCGATTGATTTCATTTGGGGGGCTAGATAAGTAAGATAAAATATTACCAATCCTTTATCTAAACGACAAGGTCAATAAATTGAACATTGGGTTGAAACGTTTTTGTAGAAAGGCGTGATCACGTGACACGGGACCCCTTTATTCATAACAAGTAAAGAATATTTTATATAACGAAAACCAACATCACCTGTTTGTTTTTTACTTTTTTTTGAGTCAGAGATTGAGAAATATACCCTTATATTAAGGAGAAATTTGTAATAATTGAACATTAGACTCAATAACCCGGGGTAGTTGAGATTAATCAATTTGGATAATAACCAGATAAGCCCTTTAAGGTTAACGAGAAAATATTAAGGACAATATGGCGACTAAAATGGTTGATTACATACTAAGAATAGTGTTGATTGTTTCTATTTTTACAGGTAGGTAACGTTTTTTTATTAAATGGAAAGAAGTTTATTTAAGATTTGTAATTTGATATGTGACATATGAATGAAATATGAAATCGTTCACAACATGTCTGAAATGTCAAAAATGCAGAAATATTTTTCTTTAATGTTGTTTCGATCTTTTATAATTTCTAATACATGGTTGTGTTGCTTTAAGAAAGCGATAGGTTAAGAAGTAGAATGTTTCGGCATGACAGTCAGTTAACTGGAGAAGCTCTAGGCCAATCAGGGTAATTCGGATAACAATTTAGTGATTGTGTTCTCTTTCTGGTTATAACTGTAAAGGATATTATAAAATTAAGGTTTTTAGAAGTATTTCTTTGTGCCTCTTACAACGTGGAGAATAATTTTGGTCATCTCATAGGTTAAAAAAGATCTGCAAGGGAAGTTTTATTAGTTATATCTGAAATCTTACCAAAAAATAAATGTATTCCAAAGGCATTCAATCTACAAAGGTGTAATTTGGTCTATTTGATGGAACAATAACAAATTTACACTTGATTCTTGATAAGGAAAATTAATGAGCATAATGCCACTATTTTGCAACGAGAAAGTCACATGATATAAGAGAATTAAGTTTCAACACATCTGTTATAAAAAGTTCTTGTCACGCATATCACAACCTTATATTGCAATCTCTCTTAAAAGCGTCTTCCAATGAAGGTGTTTAACATCCTGTATAAGTGAGGTTCTTTAAATAATACCTGGTTCAGGCCAGGAAAAAAATACTACCTCTTAGGATGACTAACTTATTTTATAACTTGTTAAAAATGAGTTTTTGTTCATCAGAGGACTTACCTGGTGTCAAAACTATTAAAAAAAAAATCCCGCTATAATTCAATAAATCCATAAAATTAAGTGATGATTAGTAATTTTGAAACATGCTTAGATGCATTGATATTCCATTCTTTAGTCATGGCACCTGGTAAGTACAACTGATGAATATGTACCCTTGTTGACCAAGTTTGAGACTATCAATTTTATGTCCCTTCTATTGTACTGTTCTTTAAAGGTGTTGATATCGACAACGGCTCGTTTGACATTTTTTACTGCAAGGAAGTTTTTTTCAGCATTTTCTACAATTCTATTGAGTAATATGGCATTTTTTGTTCATAAAGACCCGGATTCTTAGAATTTTTTTTCACCTTTCCAAAGTAACATTTAAATGGTCTACAACGATTTATGATTATTGAATAATGTTTTGACTGATGCCAAGTGAAGGTTAGGCGACATAAAAAAAAAAGTTGGTTATCGTCCCCGCACGTCCGGAGAAAACGGCCCGACTCGATATATTTTTTATTTTCTCATAAAATGTCTAAAAAAGCGTGCCGAGTGTCCAAATTTATCGAAATAACAATGCTGTTCCGAATGCTCCGTATAAGCTTCCGGTACAATTACCTCCCTTGACATTGCGCTTGCGCATTGAAGTTATTGAACTCAGTACTGTTTTGATCCTGCATTCATTTTAAACTAGCCTACTTAATAGTCTTCGCATTTTTATTTAATGTAATGGATTTTGTAGTAGCTAGCATTGCGCAAGATAAAAACCCCACATTATTGAAAGCATGGTGTGGGGTTTGCATCTCCAGCGACAAGACACTTTCCGAATTCTACTCAGAATTGGTAGCCGGAAAATTTGACAGCGAGCCGCTGCAGGACTAGGAGGAATGCAGACGATCATTTGTCCAAGTCCTAGTTGGTGAGTTTGAATGTTTCATCCACATATTTCGACATCAATCGTTCAAATAGATCGTGTGCACTATGTTTTTTTTAGATTGGAATATACGGGAGGCACAAACAAACAAATTTTGAGTTTCCTTCTCCCACAATGGATGATTCTTATTTAGAAAGCAATCTACATGCCACTTTTTGATTGGTTGAAATTAGCTTTACCTTATAAACTTTGTTAGATCACATTGATCCGGAAAAAAATCTTTATACACCAACATGAAATGGGCATATATTGTCGTCGCCCATGTTCGTCGGTCCTTCCATCAGTCGACAATTGCTGGTAAACACAATATTCTGTACAGAATTTGACAAAACATGGTGTGAGTGTTCGTAATCACGTTCAATATTTAGTTTGTGAACACTCTGGAAGGTTTTTATCACTCAAGGATGGACCCTTTTGAAAATCAGCAAAATTGAATAATATTGAGTACCGGGTATGAATTATTACAGATTTTGACTAAAACTTTGTGTTAGTATTCATTGTCACCCAAGGATGAACCCTATTGAAAAAAAAAAAAATCTAAAAAATATTTAATGAGTTATTGCCCTTATTCTTTAAAACACAATGATGAGTTAACCTTAATCAATGTTAAATATGTTAAAATGTTTTATTTAATTGTTTCATATGTTAAAATTTTAATTAAATTGTTAAGTTTTCAATTAAAGTGTTATTACAATTGAATTTGTTTTGAATTCATGCACGGAAATGCTATCCCATGCACCTCTACCCTAGCAGGGTGTGCATGGGGCAGGGCGTGCATGGGGCAGTATTTCATATATACCGACAACTCCTTTAATACTGGACTCCCAAAAAAAAAAAAAAAAAAAAAAAAAAAGCCTCCCCCCCTACCCGCCTTTTTCTAGTAGCAAGGACGATAACCAATTAATTTTTTTTATTTGGCCTTATTCTCATTTGTTGATTTTTGCCTTAGAAAATAGTTAACCAAAAGAATAGCAGAAAATCAAAGACTACTCATCAAAGAAGTGTGTTATACCCCATGTGTTTTCTGTTATATGTGCTCTGAGCTTCTAAATATCCTTCAAATCTTATTTCAGTATGTTTATCAGAATACTGTACACAAAATGAGGGAACTATATACCAGTCAACACGATATTGTAGAAATGGGTGTTGTTATGATACAGGTATAGCAGATTACAAATGTTGCACATATTCCTCGTATAATTAGTAAGTATTTTATGTCAAAATATAAATTAAGATCCAGTGTTTGCACGTGTTTTCCTCAAGGTCATGTTTGAAAATTATACCTGGAAAAATGGGGCATTAACCTATCAATCAATAAGAATTAATTTCATAGACATTTCATGAATCAGTATGAACTGTGAGGAAGGTTTCGTGTTTTTCTTATCATTATGACGTATCCCAAGATAATAAAGATTAGACAAACATGCATCTTAAGTTCAAAGCATTTCTGCTTTGTATAATAAAATTCTGGTTTGAAAGTATTCACATAACTTTTAGTGCTGGAAGTATTGATATCCTATTAATATATTAACATTGTAGTGTCTAGCATATCTATTTATAGATACATTATTTAGATGTTTACGGTAAATGCATATTGCCTATGATTACGTCATAATTAATACCCCTCTAATATGTATTGAATTCCCGCCATTGTAGTTCTGATCGTAAGATTGATAATAAAGCATGTATGATTAAATTCGGAGCCTATTCAATTCTCTTCTGGGTTAAATCCGCAAGTGGGGAATACAACAATTGGCGACGAGGTGAAACTTTAAAAGAAGATAAAACTTTTAAAAAGGAGGAAGAGAATGGCTCAATTAACTGAAATAGGTGGAATTGATAAATTTAATTGTTCCGGTGATCCGACGAAATTAGCAACAAGATGGCTGAAATGGTTACGTTCATTTGAATTATATGCTGAAGGTAAAGGAGTCACGGATAATCGTCAAAAGAAATCGTTATTGTTGCACTGTGGTGGAATAGAAATGCAGGACATTTTCTTTACTTTTGAAATCCCTGATCCAGGAGAAGGTGAGAATGTTTATAGTGTCACTGTGAAGAAATTAGCTGATCATTTTAAAGGTCCGAGTAATCCGCCTTACGAAAGACACGTGTTTAGAAAACTTTATCAATTTGAAGAAGAAACTGTTGATCAATTTGTGACAAGACTACGTCAAAATATAGCTCCATGTGAATTCCATGATGAGAAAGAAATTGTTGACCGAGTAATTCAAGGTTGTAAATCACGAGATTTGAGAAGAAAACTTCTAGAAAAAGGTCAAGATTTACGACTAACGGAATTGCAGAATATTGCGAGAATCCGCGAAGCATCATCAAGACAGATCGATGTATTTGACAAGAAGAATAAATCAGATGAAAAATCGGAAATAAATGGAATTCATTATCGGAAGGATCAAAGAAAGACTAATTTTAGGCAGAATACTGATTTTAAATGTTTTCGTTGTGATAGTCCAGGACATAAACAGAATGATGAAATTTGTCCAGCAAAACATCGACAATGTATTAATGTGGAAAATACGGACATTTTGCTAAATGTTGTAAAACTAGAAACAATCAAACAAGTTCGACCGGGAGTAATCGGAATGACCGATTTAGACAATCAAGTCAGGCAACCGGACGACAGGAAAGTCAAGGTCGCCCTGAGAATTATAAACAGAAGAATTTCAGAAGAAATAAATCGAAAACTGGAGTAAACTACGTTGATTCTGATGAAGAAGAAGAGAGAATGAGCAGTGATATTAATTCAGTAAATTTAGAAGAAGATGAAGATGATTATGTTTTTACTTCGCAAGATACTGGTAAACAACCGAAAATAAAAGTAAACATTGGCAATGTTCCAGATGTTGAAATGCTGATTGATTCAGGTGCAAGTTGTAATGTTTTAGGAAGATCCGAATGGGAAAAACTCAAGAAGAACAAGGTGAAGTGTACTAGTAGATTAACTAAGAAAAAACTTTATCCATATGGCAGTGATAAACCATTGACTGTGAGAGGAATATTCAATGCAATTTTGACTATTGGAAATAAATCAATAGAAGCTGATGTGGTTGTTATTGAAGGTGAAGGAACTTCATTATTAGGAAGAGACTCTGCTATGAAATTAGGAGTGTTACAAATAAACTTGGTAAATTCAGTCCAGGAGAAATCATTTGAAATAAATGACATTTTTACTAAATACGTTTTGAAGGTATAGGAAAACTGAAAGATTTTCAATTAAAATTCCTATTGACAATTCAGTGAAACCAGTTGCACAACAATTGAGACGTGAAGGATTTAATTTGAGACCAAAACTAGAAAAGAGACTTAATGAACTTGAAAACTTAAATGTAATTGAAAAAGTTAAAGGACCAACACCTTGGATATCTCTGTGTGTTGTAGTACCAAAAGATAATGGTGATATAAGACTTTGTATAGATATGAGACAGGCTAATAGTGCTATTGTGAGAGAACGACATCCTATACCAACTGTTGATGAGGTATTACATGATTTGAACCAAAGTACTGTTTTTAGCAAATTAGATGTGAAATGGGCTTTTCATCAACTTGAATTGAAAGAAGAATCAAGATCAATTACTACATTTGTGACTTATAAAGGACTATATAGATACAAAAGACTAATGTTTGGTATTTCATGTGCTCCAGAGATGTACCAAAGAGTAATGCAACAAGCTTTAAATGTGAAGGTGTGAGAAATATATTTGATGACATAATTGTACATGGTGCGACAGAATTGGAACATAATATTAGACTAGAAAAACTCTTACAAAGAATTCAAGAATTAGGTCTAACTTTAAACAAGGACAAATGTCAATTTAATATGCCACAATTAGAATTTATGGGACACTTATTATCTGCTAGAGGAATAGGTCCAACAGATTCCAAGATCAAGGCTGTTACAGAAGTTAGAAAACCAAAATCTGCTTCAGAGGTGAAATCATTCTTGGGACTTGTGAATTATAGTGCACGTTATATTCAAAACTTATCAACTATAGCTGAACCTTTGAGAAAGTTAACGAAGAAAAACCAACCGTTTGAATGGGGTTTAGAACAAGAACAATCATTCAATAAACTTAAAGAGTGCCTATCTAAAGCTTCAACCCTAGGATATTTCAATAGAAATGATAGAACATTTGTGATAACTGATGCTAGTCCTGCAGGTGTAGGTGCTATTTTAATACAGGAACAGAAAGGTGAACATAGAATAATTAGTTATGCAAGTAGGTCATTGACTGATGTTGAAAAACGTTATTCTCAAACAGAAAAAGAAGCGTTAGGAATAGTATGGGCATGTGAACGTTTTCATATGTACTTATATGGAAGTGAATTTGATTTACTAACTGACCATAAACCTTTGGAATTTATTTATTCAAAACGATCAAAACCTAGTGCTCGTATAGAAAGATGGGTTTTAAGGCTTCAACCTTATACATTTAAAGTACCTTATATTAAAGGATCTGACAATATAGCTGACTGTTTGTCAAGATTAACCCAAATGGTATCTACGAATTCATCGAATGAGGATCATGAATATGTGAAATTTGTAGCTGAAACAGCAACTCCAAAAGCTTTATCAACTAGAGAGATTGAGAGACTTTCATCTAATGATAGTGAGTTAAGTGAATTAAGACAATGTATTAAGTCAGGTGAATGGTATAAACTTAAAAATAAAATTTATAATGCTATTAGAAGTGAACTTTGTTTTATAGGACATTTGATATTGCGTGGTAATAGAATTATTATCCCTGAAAAATTACGTGAAACTGTATTAGAACTTTCGCATGAAGGACATCCAGGAATCGTGTTAATGAAACGTCGTTTAAGATCTAAAGTTTGGTGGCCAGGCATTGATAGAGATGTAGACAATTTTTGTAAAACGTGTAAATCATGTCAAATAGTAGGTCAACCGCAATCTCCAGAACCAATGAACACAACAAATTTACCAAATGGTCCATGGCAACATATCGCAGCAGATCTAATGACACTGTCCTTACCATCAGGAGATCATTTGTTTGTGGTAGTAGACTATTATAGTAGGTATATCGAAGTAGAATGGATGAAATCAACAACAACAGATAAAATAATTGCTAGTTTGAAACGTATGTTTTTAATACATGGGCTTCCTTATAGTATAACTACTGATAACGGTCCGCAATTCATTAGTGAAATTTTTAAAGACTATTTAAACTGTAACGATGTAAAACATAAAAAAACAACTCCAATTTGGCCTCAAGCTAATGGAGAGGTCGAAGGGCAAAATCGTTCTTTACTTAAAAGACTTAAAATAGCTCAAGTTGAAAGAAAAGACTGGAAAGAAGAACTGTCAAAATATCTGATGATGTACAGAACAACTCCTCATAGTACAACAGGCGTGAGTCCAGCAGAACTTATGTTCAAAAGAAAATTGCGAACGAAATTACCAGAAATAGACATGAACTTTCAACATGATGAGTTAGCTATTCGTGATGTTGATTCCGAAAGAAAAGGAAAAGGGAAACTATATACTGACGAGAAAAGGAAAGTGTGTGAAAGTGATTTAAAAACAGGTGATTTAGTTTTATTGAAACAGAAACCTGAAAACAAATTAATGCCAAATTTCGAAACAAACCCATATCGTGTTATTTCTAAATATGGAAGTGCTGTCACTGTTGAAAATAATAATGGTGTGCGTTATAAAAGAAATTCAACACATGTGAAAAAGTTTATCGAGAAATTAAATACGACTCAAAGTGGAAATAATAGTTTTCAAAGTGTTAATGTACCAACTGGTGCTCACTCGGATTCAGTGTTCGATTATAATAGTTTAGATGATATTATTGAAGATGATTCAATAGTCCGTTTTGATAATAATGTGAATCGTAAAAATCAAAATATTGTGCAAAATCGTGATAATCAAAATAGAAATGTTAGTGAAAATTATAAAAGTGCTAATGTGAAATCTAGTCAAAAGTGTAAAACACCAAATAAAACTGTGTCCAATAAAATTACAAAGGAAACAAATAGCGTATCTCAAACAACAAATTCTAACATTGGAAATAATAACTCAACTGATCAAAATTCAGAAATTCAAATAAACACTAGACCAACTAGACTTAAAAGAATGCCAGATAGATATACAGACTATAAGATGGATAAATAATTTGTATTTGTTTATTTTGCATAATGTGTATCTGTGAGAATGTTTTCATATTTTTGTAAAATGTTAAATGTTTCCAAAATAAGGATTTATAATTTATTTTAGTTGTGAATATTATTGTAGAAGTTTTAAAGTATGACAATTGACAGGTCAAGGTTAAGGTTAAAGTGACTGTGTATGCAAAAGATTCTATTTAGAGGAAAACAATAAGTTTGTTTATAATAGTTTATTTTCATTTATATATTTTGTCACAAGACATAATGATTGCAGAAGGTTAAAAATTAAAATTTTAATAATTAAAAGCAATACATTACTTTTAAAGTAAAAAGGGAGGGATTGTAGTGTCTTGCATATCTATTTATAGATAAATTATTTAGATGTTTACGGTAAATGCATATTGCCTATGATTACGTCATTATTAATACCCCTCTAATATGTATTGAATTCCCGCCATTGTAGTTCTGATTGTAAGATTGATAATAAAGCATGTATGATTAAATTCGGAGCCTATTCAATTCTCTTCTGGGTTAAATCCGCAAGTGGGGAATACAACAAACATTACTTTCAGTACTGATATCCTGTCATATATTATATTCACATTTCTTTTAGTTCTGGGGGAACTGATATCCTATTGATATATTCACCTAACTTTAGTGCCGGTAGGACTGATATCCTATTGATATATTAACATTACTTTTAGTGCAGAAAGGACTGATATCCTAATGATATATTCACATTACTTTTAGTGCTGGCAGGACTGATATCCTATTGATATTAACATTACTTTTAGTGCTGAAAGGACTGATATCCTAATGATATATTCACATTACTTTTAGTGCTGGCAGGACTGATATCCTATTGATATTAACATTACTTTTAGTGCTGAAAGGACTGATATCCTAATGATATATTCACATTACTTTTAGTGCTGGCAGGACTGATATCCTATTGATATTAACAAAATCCAATGGCAAGACCAATCTATCATAGCCTCCAACCTCCCTAACAAGCAACAACGACGAATTCGAGAAGCTCTAGCTATTCAGAGACGCTTTCCAGATATCAACCGCGACAATGGACAGTACATTCTTTACATGTTTCTTCCCTTCATTCTCCCATTCTCCTCCCAGTGCCTTTCTCATTAGCTTATGTTTGCTCGGTACCTCCTCATGACTTCGCATTGATTGTCTCTCTTAATCACTTGTTATTACCCCTTTTATCTATTACCCCTCTTAATCTCTATATTGTTTCTTGTTGGTATATATTTTGTTATGTTTTATTCTCTTGCCATTACATCTGATGACGACACGTGTATATTGTGTTGAAACGTTATGTACCCAACCTTATTAAAGAAGTGTGTTATATTCCATAATATTGTCTTGTGCTTTTGTTATATGTGCTCCTCGCTTCTATATGTCGTTCAAATCTTATATATTAACATTACTTTTAGTGCTGGCAGGATTGATATCCTCTTGATATATTAACATTACTTTTAGTGCTGAAAGGACTTATATCCTATTGATATTCACATTACTTTTAGTGCTGGCAGGATTGATATCCTATTGATATATTAAAATTACTTATAGTGCTGAAAGGACTGATATCCTATTGATATTCACATTACTTGTAGTGCTGAAAGGACTGATATCCTATTGATATATTCACATTACTTTTAGTGCCGAGAGGACTGATATCCTATTGATATATTAACATTACTTTTAGTGCTGAAAGGACTGATATCCTATTGATATATTCACATTACTTTTAGTGCCGAGAGGACTGATATCCTATTGATATATTAACATTACTTTTAGTGCTGAGAGGACTGATATCCTATTGATATATTCACATTACTTTTAGTGCTGGTAGGACTGATATCCTATTGATATATAAACATTACTTTTAGTGATGAATGGACTGATATCCTATTGATATATTCACATTACTTTTAGTGCTGGTAGGACTGATATCCTATTGATACATTAACATTACTTGTAGTGCTGGAAGGATTGATATCCTTTTGATATATTCACATTACTTTTAGTGCTGGTAGGACTGATATCCTATTGATATATAAACATTACTTTTAGTGATGAATGGACTGATATCCTATTGATATATTCACATTATTTTTAGTGCTGGTAGGACTGATATCCTATTGATACATTAACATTACTTGTAGTGCTGGAAGGATTGATATCCTATTGATATATTCACATTACTTTTAGTGTTGGTAGGACTGATATCCTATTGATATATTTACATTACTTTTAGTGCTCGAAGGATTGATATCCCATTGATATATTCACATTACTTTTAGCGCTGATCTTACATATTCATGAAACGAAGGTCCGTCCGTCAACATTTGCTTGAAAACGCTCTAAAAACTAGATTTTTTGATGGAATCAAGTGAAATTCGGTATGTGTAGACATATTCATAAAACGAAGATCAAGTTCGGATTAGAGCTATTTTCGACCGTTAGAAGCAGAGTTATTGCCCTTGCCCCAAAATTTTGAATATTTACCATCCGCATGCCGTGGTGGGCGTATATGGCTGTTGTCCACTATCTTTATATTTACATTACTTTTAGTGATGAATGGACTGATATCCTATTGATATATTCACATTACTTTTAGTGCTGGTAGGACTGATATCCTATTGATATATTAACATTACTTTTAGTGCTGAAAGGATTGATGTCCTATTGATATATTAACATTACTTTTAGTGCTGGTAGGACTGATATCCTATTGATATGAACATTACTTGTAGTGCTGAAAGGACTGATATCCTATTGATATATTCACATTACTTTTAGTGCTGAAAGGACTGATATCCTATTGATCTTAACATTACTTGTAGTGCTGAAAGGATTGATATCCTATTGATATTAACATTACTTGTAGTGCTGGCAGGATTGATATCCTATTGATATATTAACATTACTTTTAGTGCTGGCAGGATTGATATCGTATTGATATATTCACATTACTTTTAGTTCTGGTAGGACTGATATCCTATTGATATTCACATTTCTTTTAGTTCTGGAAGGACTGATATCCTATTGATATTCACATTTCTTTTAGTTCTGGAAGGACTTATATCCTATTGATATATTCACATTTCTTTTAGTGCTGAAAGGACTGATATCCTAATGATATATTCACATTACTTTTAGTGTTGAAAGGACTGATATCCTATTGATATTCACATTTCTTTTAGTTCTGGAAGGACTGATATCCTATTGATATTCACATTTCTTTTAGTTCTGGAAGGACTTATATCCTATTGATATATTCACATTACTTTTAGTGCTCGAAGGAATGCTATCCTATTGATATTCACATTTCTTTTAGTTCTGGAAGGACTTATATCCTATTGATATTCACATTTCTTTTAGTTCTGGAAGGACTTATATCCTATTGATATATTCACATTACTTCAAGTGCTGAATGATTTAAATATTTCACCTTAATTTTATATTAAGTAACGACAAAAATGATACTCCATCGATTCATTCATATATTTTCAGTGCAGGGAGATATTACTGGGGGATAGGTAGTGGGATATCAGCTTTTGTTGGTATTACTGTTGGCGTGTGTGTATATTTATGTTGCCGAAAGAGACAACGCACTGCCAATACTATACAAAATGGTCCCTTATCAACGGTTACGTATGGAAGTAAGTATAGAAGACACACAAAATACATCTGGTTGAAAATCACCATATTTTGCGTGGTTTAGGTATAAAGGGGGCTTAAAAAGGTGTATTTCGGAAGTGATTTTCCTTTCGTCGTCCTGATATCTGTAATTCCCGAAGTCTGCAGAAGTCATGTTGTTTGTTACTAAAGGCATTGTTAATCATTTCAGTATAAGCTGACCTTACAGAAATGGTGATCTTTATGCCTATAAGACTTGAGCTCAGCATGAACTATTTAAAAAAAAAAGAAACAAATGATATGTATTATTTCATATGTATAGATCCCTTATTTGTTTTGATTTACAGATAATGGTGTTCAGACGTCTCAGATGCAACCTGGTGTCAATTATCCAATTTATCCAGGACAACAGAATATGGGCTATTCACCGTATTCAGAAAAGCCAGTTGGACCCCCAGAGTATGCAGCTGATCCACCACCTTATGACAGTGTTGTTAATTCAAAATAAAGTGTTCCTGTCTCTAAGATGAATTTGTATAATAAAGATATTGAAATTGGTTTCCTACATTCAGATACATATAAAGAAATTACAAGAACAAAGATAATCTTTCGTGTGGGAAAAAACATTTGGGAAAATATTTTTATTATGGGTTAATTTTTTTAAAATCGTTCAAATAACACTGTTCTTCAATGTGAGGGTTCCTTTAGTCGGTAATAAATAATTGAAGCTAGATCTGAATAATAAATATATTGAAGCATCATTTTCAAACTTTATCTACAAATCGACCCATCCATTTAATTACTTAATAAATCGTTATATAACAAGCTACTAATTGTTATTACAATCCAGTTGTTAAAGTTGATATTAACGGTCCTGCTGTTGATAGAATTCAACATTTGTCCATTTAACGTATGTCCATATCATTGAAATTTCAAGTCTGCCTCATTTCAGGAAATATGTTTTTACAATGTTCCAGGTAATTCTTTCAGAGAGTTACATCAGTCATCAGGTACTTTGTATTAGTTAATTCTTGAGAGGTTTGATGTTGAAATATTTTCAGAACTTGATAGTTTTTTGGCTCAAATTATTTACATTGACACTTGGTGGATATTTACATTAACCAAGGCAATACAAATTTATGCACATGTACTTACTGGATAAATACCATGACAATCAAAATATAACCGTGTCAATAAAAATATTTCAATTGATTCTTAATGGATAAATACCTTGACAATCAAAATATTTACATTCAAACCAGGTTGATATTTACCAATCAAAATATTACATCGACAATCAAAAGATTTCCATCGTGGATATTTACCTCCACAATCAAATATTTTAATATTGACTACGTTCCTTTTGCGACACTTGTTGGATTGTTCACTTAATTAGTATATTTTCCTTGATGGATATTTACCATTATTTTTATTGAAAAATAACGTAAATAGATAATAATGTAATGTATAAGTTATATACATGAAGTTGTTTTGATTATTGTATATTAATTAATTTTGTAATAAAACTAGTCTTCAATCAGCAATTATATTTCAACGTGAAACAAGATAGACACCCAATTCTATAGCATATTATATTCATTCAATTTAGTCATGTTGTATAAAGTTTATCTGTATCAAAAGACATTTTGCAGTATCTAGTTAATCTGTATCATATATCTTGCAGTATCAACTGCATCTGCATTAAATGGCATCTTGCAGTGTCAAGCGTATCTTTATTAAATAACATCTTGCAGTGTCAAGTGCATCTGTATCAATATTCTTGCAGTATCAAGTGTAATTATATAAGATAGCTTGTCGGGCAAGGCATCTGACAGAAATGATAAAACAGTCTTTAGTGACTAAAGTATGAATTTTCTTATATTAAATAAACAATAATAGTTTGAATTCAATGATAAATATATTTACTGCCAGTTATTTATGCTGAGTAATTGCACCAAATTTAAAAAAATCAATATCAATAACCCAAATACATCAAATTATCTCATCAATATAAATGATCACACCAAATTTCATCAAAATCATCTGAAAACTGTAGTCTCTATTGTGTTCATAAACAAATTTTGACACGTTTTTCCTTAGTCAACGGATATTCATTCATCAAAAGATCGTCAAATTCAAACATGACAAAGATCTCATCAATATAAATGATAATTCCAAATTTCATTAATATCAGTTGAAAACTGTAGTCTCTATAGTGTATTCACAAACAAATTTTGACGCGTTTTTCCTAATCACTGGCAATAGCTAAAAACCGTTCATTGAAAAATCTTCAACTTCGAACTTGTCCAATATTTCGTTAATATAAATGATCAAACCAAATTTCATTAAAATCAATTGAAAACTGTAGTCTCTAATGTGTTTACAAACAAATTTTGACGCGTTTTACCTAAGTCAAGGGCAATAACTCAACAAGTAGTTGCCTAGCAAGATACGCCCTATCTGTGTCAAATCATACCAAAAATCTAACTTGTGCAAGATATTGTTGATTTAAACAAACACACATTATTTAATAAAATTCTGACATAAACTATCACCTCTATCGCTAAGAAATTTTGATTAGTTTTTTACTAAGTCATGGGAAAAATTGTCAAATTTAATCTTGACTAAGATCTCATCATTATAAATGATCATATCAAATTTAATTTAAATCGGATGAAAACTGTAGTCTCTATTGTGTTCACTAACAAATTTTGACGCGTTTTTCATAAATCGAGGGCAATAACTCAAAAACCATTCATCGAAAGATAGCCAAATTCGAACTTGTCCAAGATCTAATCATTATAAATATTCACACCAAATTTCATTGAAATTGGATAAAACTGTTCTTCTCTATTGTGTTCACAACCAAATTTTGACACGTTTTTCATAAGTCAAGGGCAATAAAACCGTTCATCGAAAGATAGCCAAATCGAACTTGTCCCAGATCTAATCATTATAAATATTCACACCAAACTTCATTCAAATCAGATGAAAACTGTAGTCTCTCTCGCGTTCACAAGCCAATTTTGGTGCGTTTTGGCTAAGTCAAGGGCAATAACTCAAAAACCGTTCATCGAAAAATCGTGACTATCGAACTTGTCCAAGATCTCATCAATATAAATGATCAGAATCAGATGAAAACTGTAGTCTCTATCGCGTTCACAAGCCAATTGTGGACAGAAGGACCGACGGACATGGGTGGCGACAATATACGTCCACATTATGTGGGCGTATAAACACCGTTCATCGAAAAAACCCTCAAATTCAAACTTGACCAAAATCTCATCAATATACATTATCACATCAAGTTTCATTAAAATCAGATAAAAACTGTAGTCTCTATTGTGTTCACAAGAAATATTGACGGACCGACGAACAGGGGCGACGACAATTTATGTCCACATTTCCAAAAACATTTCTAAATATCAAGTGTATCTTTTAACAAAGAACTTTTGCGATATAAAACGATTACATCATTTTGCAGTAACAACTGGATCTGAATGCAAAAGTTACAGTATCAAGTCGATCTGTACAAAATAACAAGTTGATCTGTATCAAATAGTATATTGCAGGAAATGAAGAAATTTACTGAAAGACCAAGCAAAGAGAATTTATGATTAGTTATTTTAATTTTCCTCACCTAGGCTTTAAATACCATAAATTCATGGACATACCATGAATAAAAAAACTCATCAGATATTTTCAACAAGCAACTACACACTGTAGACTTAAATAATTTACATTAATAAATGCGTATAATAATTTTAACGAAAAAGGACAAGTGTAGAGGACATAAATTTGGAAGTAAGGGACACAAGTTGCACTATTAAGATTAACCATCAAAGTATAGCTTTACTTGTAGATATCAAAGGGATTGCAAAGTGTTTTTCTAGCCTTTTTATGTGTATCGGTAACATATTTGACTTCTATTTAGGACATTCAAATTCTTCGTCCAATGCCCGTGGTTCCTGCAATTCCAGAAAGAGTTAACCGGAAATGACGTAGCTCCTGCAAGAGAATTCGTAACCATTGTACCACTAGACTATACCACAATAACATACTAATATATGTGTTGTGAAGTGGACATGACAATATAGGGTCTTTTATATAAAAATATTGCAGACAGGGCACTGGAGAGACAACATGATTGCACTGCACTCTGAGCCGGATCAAATAAAGAAGATCTGTCTGCATCAGTGATAGGGTTAGGGTGTGAGGACAAAAGAGAAAGGTGATAGTGCTTTCACTGTTCTTTCCTTTGGCGAAGTTCTTGTTTAACTCTATGATGTTTGGATATTTCTGTGATATTTGGATGCCATATTAAATAAAGTCTGTTTCTGTGTGGAGTCAGAATGCCACCAAAGCTGGCTCGCTCAGATATATGTTATCTTCCCTTACAAAATCGCGGCATTTCTAACTAAAAATCATTCTCATTTCACTTCACCGTTGCCTTATATAACTCTTTACTACACTTGATTCACCAAATGTTCCACCTATTGTATTCAAAATCGGCAATTTCCGGTTAACTCAATACCCATAAAAAGGCTAAAAAAACAAACACACTTTACAATCCCTTTAAAGCTTAAATCACCTTATGTAACATACCACCTTAGTATATAACTTAACTCCACTAGCAAAATAACCAAACATTTTGTTTTTCAAAACATCTATTCAAATAATTATCTAGCAAGTCCTTAAAAAGAATATAGTTGGAAGGCTTTGATCACAATAAAATATCAATAAAATAGCACAGATACAAAAAATTCACATTAAATCCAATTCATTGCAAATCCACAAAAACTGTAATTGGTTTGTGATTGTCATCAGTAACATGTTTAACATTATCACAGTCTAACATTCAAATACTTAATACACATTCAAATACTTAATAGCCTGAAATTTTCAATCTTCATCTCACATAAATCTCATTCTTCTCGGTGGTGGACGACTGAATTCTGGATGGTGGTGAAAATTATCTCTATAACCAAAATCTGTTACAACAGAACAAGATGATTAACAATAAATTCTTCACCAAAAACATAAAAGAATACTACCGGTACATCATAAAAATTGATATTTGTAAACTTGGCTAATAAGAGTATATATTCATAAGTGGACTTAAATAGAGTATATGACAGAATCCCTAAGTAGTTATTCATAATCCACGGGTAATTATTGACAAAAACTTTTGTTTTCAGCCTTTTTCAATAATTAGTTGAATTAGAGAGGGATTCTGGTGTCCTCTAATGTATAGTCTGATTGGTAAAGTGTAATACTTTATGTTCATTCTAAAAGGTAGTGTTCCTTTCAGTTTATATTTAAACTTTTTAATTTAAAAATTTAGTTATCATATCATTCATGATAGGCTTAAATTAGAATTTTTTTTAAAGTTAAAATTGACATACAGTTTGCCTACTATTTAATAATATCATCCTATGCAATTGTAGGCTGTTAGACTTTTAGGGCCTTATCGACATTATCACTAGCACTATTAGCACAGCCTGAAAGTGACTACAATCAATACAACAGTGAAAAGATTTTCAGATGATACAGATGGTTGACAATTTTCTGGACCTGAATAAGAGCAATGCCATGCCATGTCAATAATTCATATTAGTAATACCTAGCTTTGAACATAATGTTTAAAGTCAAGTTTATGAAAATCAATAAACAAAGATAGCTTGCGATGCAAGGTAACATACGCCCACTGGCAGCTGTCAGAAATAATAAAACAGTCTTTAGTGACTAAAGTACGAATTTTCTCATATTGAAGAAATTATTTATGCTGAATAATTCCACAAAATTTTTCAAAATCAATATCAATAACCCAAATACAACAACCAATTAAATCACACAGCTCTAATCAAGGGCAAAATACAACTTTTGACGTGTTTACAAAGTCAAGGGCATTAACTCAAAAAATGTTCATCAAAAAATATCTCTAGTTAGAACTTGTCCGAGATCTTATCAATTCAAATGATCACACCAAGTTTCATCAAAATCGGTTGAAAACTGTAGCTTCAATTGTGCTCACAAACAAATTTTGACGCGTTTTTCGTAAGTTAATAGCAATAACTCAAAAACATTTCATCGAAAATGCATCAAGTTAGAACTTGTATGAGATCTTATCAATTTCAATGATCACACCAAGTTTCATCCGAATCGGTTGAAAACTGTAGCTTCTATTGTGCTCACGAACAAATTTTGACGCGTTTTTACAAAGTCAAGGGCAATAACTCAAAAACCGTTCATCAAAAATGCGTAAAGTTAGAACTTGTCCGAGATCTTATCAATTCCAATGATCACACCAAGTTTCATCAGAATCGATTGACAAGTTTCATCAGAATCGGATGAAAACTGTAGCTTCAATCCTGCTCACGAACAATTTTTATCAAATTTCAAGGCGTTCTAAGTCAAGGGCAATATCTCAAAAACCGTTCATCGAAAATATGTCAAATTCGAACTTGACCGAGATCTTATCAATCTAAAGCATCACACCAAGTTTTATCAAAATCGGATAAAAACTGTAGTCTCT